CTGCACTTTTTTATTGAACACGGGTTAACTGCTTTCTACAATAATGGCTGTCTTGTACTTTGCAGCTGTGATGGAGAGCATGGGAATGGATATGAGGGAAGTCTCCAGGTCCGTTTAGTGTTGTTTTGACTGCAAAGAAATGTACTTTTAACTTGTCTCTGGGAACAAGGAGGCATTGTGTAATCGTATGTATACAATGTGGTAAAAATATTGTCTAAGTATAAGTCTTGTCATCACACGTAAAGGGATCAGCTGGTTCCCTCATTTGGAAGAGTACTTTATAATGTTGCAAGACATAGACTGTTTATAGATGGACAATGCAAACCCCATCGCTCAATGAAGCTCAATAGGGAAGTGCTCATGGTCAAAGTTTTGCTTCAACTCGCTCTGGCTCCTATTGACTTGCATTGAAAAGTAAAGTCCTCTAGCTCAGTAAGCGTTTTTGTGGTACATAACTTTGAGCTTTAGAAAATGTATGTTTTAATCGCCATTTTTTTTAAATTGTCTGTGATATAAGGATTGACCAATCTGAGGCCTTCATTCGCAGGGGAAACTCCAGCTTGCCTTATCAACCATTTTAGCAAGAGGTTCCGAGATGTGTTATGTGAATGAGCAAATCATTTCAAATTGGAAAAAGCTTTATTAAACTATAAATCAAATGTGGTTTATTCTGTAAGTTCTAAGAGTGAATGGAGTTTTTATATCCATGAACTAGTGTAAATACACCTAACTGTAAACTCCTTATGATAAACCTCTTATTTTTCCGACCCCACATACTGTACTGAACGGTTCCATCAGTCCTCTCTCTCCCACACAGTTCTGGTGCTCTGCTGGGTGTAAATAATTTAGTGCCATTTAAAAGCCCCAATTAACTCCACCAGCGGGGAGTGAGGCGCCCTCCCGCTGATCGATTCATTAGTAATAACGGCTGACATTTATGTTGCCAGATAAGTTGGTCGTTCCAGTGCCTATACAGCGCAGAAAGCAAAGGCAACTTAGGATTTCTTCTGCTTATGAGGAGCATGTTTATAAAGCCTTAAAGGATATTAAACAATTGGGGTATTATCCTTATGTTCCAATTAGGGGTGTAGCAATTCACCAAACCTCTGAGGCCATCGTAGAACAGCTGTAAGTCTGTAATCATTAAGATTAAGAGACTTTAGATGTATTGATCTCATTGTGGGTAAATGTCAGTGTTGCATCCCAGGTTGCAGAACAGTAGGAATGAGAAGCAGATCATGTTGAAAAATAATAAGTTTTATTTATATACCGCCTTTCACAGACCAGAGTCACAAAGCGGTTTATAATTGTTATTTTTGGGCACTTGTCTCTCACTCCACACAGAGATGGGAGCGGGGTCGCCAGTACAGGAGGCGCATGCCAGACCTATTGTTCATGTTTTTAGTGGTAGGGGAAACCGGTGTACCCGGAGGAAACCTACGCAGACACGGGAAGAACATGCAAACTCCACTCAGAAAGGCCCTGGTCCGGCCGGGATTCGAACCCAGGACCTTCTTGCTGAGAGGCGAGAGTGCTATCCACTCCCATATTTATATGTTCATACTTTTTATACTTCAAGATAAAGTATTAACGTATTTACTCAATGTATTTGTGTGTGTGTGTGTGTGTCTGCAAAAATATACTGTATATACTGTACATATATTAGACAGAGGTACAGTTGTATGTTAGAGCTTTATTCCAAAATGTATTCAATTATTTTTTTTACTCACAATTCTACACACAACACCCCATAATGACAAAATGAAAACGTTTTTTTGAGAATTGTAATGGTATCCTTCCGTTGCTTCTCTTTGCTCTGATCATGGCGCCCTGAAGATGAAATCGTAGAGTTTGCAAAGTCGCTGCTGCCAACATCCTTATTCTCATTTCAGACATTTGAGTTTGGATGCAGAACCAATCTGCTATTTTGCAAACTGTAATTATTGTGTCGTGCAAAAATAATGCGTCCTTTTGAAACGAGCCGTCAGTTTCTCCATTAGTCCATCTTCACTCCTGTCACTTATTTAATAATTACTGTTTTAGCTCATGCAGATGGACCACAGGCACGACACCACTCAGATCAGGACGGAGGAGGCAACATATCTGTCCAGTTGTATCATTTATCAATTTGTACAAGTTAAGAGCACTCAATGTGGCTCAGAGAATAGATTTAAAAGCAGCTCCACTTGTGAACAAATCTATCCATGGCCTCGCACCAAAGTAAATCTGTGACATGTTTGTGCCATATGGACCAATTTGGACTCAGAGGAGCACAGGGACCCGCCTCCTGCTGGTGCCCAGAGTCAGGACTAAACATGGGGAGGCAGTGTTTTAGATTTATGCAGCTAAATTAGGAACAGCCTCTTGAAAATGCGAGACAAGCTTCTACTCCGACGATGTTCTGTTTCGCTGTTCATACAACTGAAGGATTATATCTTTACTCTTTTCAAAGTGTGGCCATTATTTATGATTTTAATGTTTTGTTTGTTTGGTTCAGCACTTTGAGTTGGCCTTGTGTATGAACGGTGCTATACAAATACTTTGCCAATGTGAGAGTGAGAACCATTTTCAATGCGACTTCTTAGGACGTATTTGATTTTACAGTCAACTGTAGAAATCAATGACTAGAATGTGAATCTAAAAAAATTATTTGAAATTCCACACTGGGCTATAATTCCGTTATTATTAACTCTTTGGTCCTGTTGTGGAAATTCTGCACGTAACAAGAGTAAAATAAGGTAAACAACCCAGAGCTGTAATTCCAAACAAAGTGTGAGTTTATTCATTAGTAAATGTGCACAATTACAATGAATAACAGAACCGATACCAATACCACCGGGCAGCCGTCCGAAATCGACTGCCACGAATGAGGAAATGGCTGGTCATTAAATAGACCAGAGTAAACAAACACATATCTACTCTAGATATTACAGAGATGAAGTCAACATTGATATGTGTTGCTCAAGGCTTCTCTTTACACGTCCTAACGCTGATACAACTCTGATATATGTAACAATCTGCTTTTGACCTGAACATATTGTTCTATGACCCAGGTCAAAGACATGATGCAGCACGTCTCCATCTATCACTGACCTGCTGCCAACAGAGCATTATGGCCTGTATCTGAATCCAGAGTTCACTATTAGTTTATAACTTACACTCATAACTATTTGGTGTTAATTCAGATTGCTTTACTAAAATATTTCTATAACAGTCCTATGAGAACTGAATCTTTTGTTGTTGTTTTTACAAGATCACGCAAGAATGTCCTCGTCCAATGCCACCTCCAGATGGGGCCTTGCTGTGTGAAGTTTGCATGTTCTCCCTGTGTCTACTCCTGTTTCCTCCTGGTTGCATTGGCTTCCCCTACCACTATAAACCTGTATCGGTCCGGCGTGCGTCTCACTCCACTCAGTGAGTGGTGTGAGAGAACAAATGCACACTTATTACTTAGGCCCTGTTTACACAGAGACGCTGTAACAGTAAAACAGAGCCTTTCATTCACACGGTGTCGATGTTTCACAGGGGTGAAAACGCAAGCTTTGAAAAAAGGCCTCCAGAGTGGAACAGAACTGCTGTGCTGCGCGGCAGTTTCGGGCTGAAACCCTGCGAGGCTGTAGTTGCAGTTTCCATTTCTGCTGTCAAATGAAGAATGATGTTGGTGCATTCTTTTCAGTCTTTGCGGTGGCCTGAGGAGGATGTTGTTCAGGAAGTGGGTGTGGTGCATGTCGCGTTGTAAAGTGAAAATAATGAAAATGATCTCAGAACGACAATACTATCGCTTCTCACAATAATTTCTGAGACAATTAATCGGCCAGCAAAATTTGTAATCGTGACAAGCCTAAGTGGGGGTCGTTTTTGCACATTTCTTTGCTGCCGTCTGTGTGTAAACGGAGCCCTAGATTGTCAAAAAGAAACCCTTCAGAGTCTATCAAAATTAATATTTATATTCATGACCATTTGAATCTGTATTGATCAGTGCAACTTCTGTTCCAGCCACATACTTAGTTTGTGTCACAAATATTCAAGTCTATTAAGTTTCCAACAATGGCTGGTCACACACTGTTCAGAACATTGCCAAATTCAACATGTCTTTGATTACAAAGAACATTTTACCTTTGAGTGCTTTGACTGTTACAAAGTACAATTAGAGCCCAGGTGATCATCGTGTCCTTGTGTGGGGTATAATAGGCACACTATTGTACCAATCAAATGTTTTTTTGTCCCACGGTTGTATTTTTTTCTTTAGTTGGGCTGAGTTTAATCATAGCCTGTATATAGATGCTCATAGGTGAAGTTTTGCTCCAACTTACTTCGGCTCCTATCGACTTGCATTGAAAAGTAAACTCTTGCTCAGTGCGGTTTGTGTTACACTCAACATTTACAAACCGTAGTTTGCCCTATAATGAAATTAGCTCAAGCTAGCTTACGTTCAGGAAACACTATGATGATGTCAGTCCACCCTTTTTTGACCCACTGTGGAGGGTCTAAAGAGGGACCCTCCACAGTGAATAAAAGTTGCCAAAATACCCTAAATTACTTTTCTTTTCTTTTAAGCTGAATTTTGATTTTAGGGCATTTTGCTTCTACTTTTAGTCACTGTGGTGGGTCATGTTGACCCAACGACAGCACTAAAACTTGTTTTTTGTAACTGCATATGCTGATTGGTATTCCACCACTTATTGCACAAGCACTTCAAGGGGAGTCTGCAATGTTATGGAATATTCTTGTGTTGAAATTGTCTTAATGTTGAGAGTGTCTTGTATGTGTGTCCAACAGCCCTGTGAGCTGAAGACAAATTTCAATTTGGGGACTAAAGTTGAACCTTACTTGTTTTTTGTTTGGAAATAAGTGAATATGAAGGTACCGTTCAAACACAGAAATTGCAATGGTAAAAAAAACACATAGAACCATTGGTCCAAAGGGGCAGATGACCAATTTCTATGTCTGGTATAGAAGAACCAATTAACTTAATGTTTTCTGTTTCTCCGTGCGCTCAGGGCTTCTTGAAGAGCGAGCGTGTTTCGCGGATGGTCCAAAGTGGCGGCTGTTCGGCCAACGACTTCCGGGAGGTTTTCAAGAAGAACATCGAGCGGAGGGTGCGAAGTCTGCCGGAGATCGACGGTCTGAGCAAAGAGACTGTGTTGAGCTCCTGGATCGCCAAATACGACGCCATCTACAGGGGGGACGAGGAGCTGCGGCGCGGTCCTCAGAGAGCGCACCTCAGTGCAGTTTCAGAACTAATCCTCAGTAAAGAGCAGCTCTACGAGATGTTCCAGCAAATCCTCGGCATCAGGAAGTTCGAACACCAGCTGCTCTACAATGCCTGCCAGGTCAGATTTGGTTTTGTAGTGGATGCCTTGTTTTGGATAATAGTAGGAATAACAAACAATGAATTAACTACAAACAAAAACACTGAATTGTCAAGATACAAAACAAACGGTTTTAGGTATACGGTGGTCCCCTGCTATAACTTGGTTCACATTTCTGGTGCCTACAGTGAATCATTTAACCGCTATTATAACATGACAGTAACCCACCTCAGTCCTGCTCCTGCACTTCAGCACTGTGTCCTCTGCAGCTGTATTTGACAGTGTATGCACGGCTTTTGACAGCTGCAGCAGCGCTCAGACCTACAACACATATTTCCACAAACTCAATTCAGCAATTGAGAGTGTATAAAGTGTGGGTGAGAAGGGTTTTACAGACTTAAAACATACAGCTGCGACTTCACCTAATTTTGTTCTGCGTTATTTTTTAGAACGTAATTTAATTTTCTACCATTTAAAAAATTGGATATGTACACATGCCCTAATTATTTAAAAAAAAATCTCATTTCAGAGTCTTAAAATCACATTTCACAGCCTTTATATATATAAATATATATGTATACAGCAGTTTATTGTATTGTATTACTAAAATAGAACATTATCAGTTGTGATTTACGATATTGTTACAGCTCCAGATAACTAAGGACTGAACGAGCAAACGCACGATGCAGAATCTAGAACGGCACAACATAATTCATAATACTGTAAATATTTTGTCCCCTCTCAAAAAAAGTGTCTCAGGAAAGGGACTACTTTATTCGAGCCAGGAGCCAGCAAAAGCTCCTCGGCAACCGTTGCCAAGACCAAACCACAGAGGATATAAAGCATTTTACCAAAATCTTTGCCGCACAACAGACATTGAAAAGTAACTCCTATTCTGCAAAGTTAACTTTTTGTGCTCAGTGCTGTGTGTTGCTATGGTGACGGCTCAGGTTGAGTGATTGGAACTTGTAATTTAGCACAAGGTTTAAAAGGTTGTAATCAACAGTACTTTGCAAAGGAATCCTAACTGCCCGTGGTGTAATGGTTTGTATACTGCTTAACCCTCACTCTAACACGTTGTCCAAGGACTTTCGGTTTGGCGAATCACTCATGTTGAATACTAATACTAATACTCAATGTGTCAATTGGATATTTTATCACTGAACAAAAATATAAGTAGTTACCTACATTGGTGTAGAAATATAGATGAGAATTGCCTACAGAGCCCTCCTGCACAGTCTGTTTTGTCTATAGCTGCATAAGAAAGTGTCTGAAGAGCGTGGAAAACAAAATGTTTGCTTGTATGCCTCCTCTGTGACCTTGCTCTTAATTAGCTGTACAAAACTCGGCTGGATATCTGGCTCTTTATTTTTGTAGTGAATAGAGCTGTCAAAATTATCGTGTTAACGCACGTTAATTACATTTTTTCATTAATCACGTTTAAATAATTTACGCATTTGACACCTGTACCGAATGACCCGCCCATGCATCAATCAATCAATCAACTTTTAATTGTATAGCGCCTTTCCTACACAAGGCAACACAAAGCACCTCACAACCCACATCATATCAAGCATATCATAAACATTAAAATCTACACATACAAAAACAAAATCACACACACAAAATTAAATACAGAATAAAATAACAAGTAATTAAAAACCTAAAAACATTAAAACACACACGGGATTAAAATAAAAAATAGCCACAATGCATAAAAAATAGTATCTATAAATCCTTCAGTTGTAGAGATAAAATCCGTCAGTTGTATGCACAGCTGCATAAATCTGAAACGCTGCCTCTCCATGTCTAGCTCTGACTCTTGGAACCAGTAAGAGGCTACCCCATAATAAAACTCTAGTGCCGCGGACACATGCGAGTGATTGAGAATTTAAAGTTTTAAAAGCATACGCGCGTGACCGCGGGGCATCTGTGGCCGCTCTGGACAGCGCTTCCCACCTCCAGTGGCTGTGAGCCGTTGTGACAACAAGACGGCGAACGGTACCGCCGTAATGCGATCCAAGACATGCACGCCACAGAAGTATTCTCTGCTTGTTGTGTGCGTGTCTTCACCACTGAAGCTGGACCACGGAGCCTCTCCTCCCGAAACGCAACTAAACTCGTTAAATTAAAGCTGGGGTACCTAATTTTTCCACATCCCTTATGAGACAGAGAAAAAGAAGGGGAAGCCTTAGCTGAAGCGGAATATGTCGACCTGAAAAAATATTGTCTACTACAGAAAGACAGAATGTTAATAATGTTAATGCCATTTTATTTGGATATATTGTTATAATAAACAAATACAGTACATATGTACACTGTTTTCATTTATCTTTCCATTCAAACAACCAATTACAGAAAAACAGGGCATAATTTTGCAGATAGTTCAAAATTATTAATTACGATTAATTCATCTTTAAGCTGTAATTAACTCGATTAAAATTTTCAATCTTTTGACAGCCCTAGTAGTGAAACATTTTAACCTTGAAAGAAGAACACAAAAAATCTGCCTCCTACCACCTTTTGATAATTGTGTGTCTTGTTTCATATCTGCTTCTTATTTTATTTTTTTCCTGGAGGCACAGTGATTTGGTTTTGATTTGATGGGCTCCTCCTGTTGACTCTGGTCTGATCGCGGAGTCTGATCTATCAAAGGTACATCCATCTGGGCTCACGCTGATGCAGACTCTCACCAATTTTTTCCCGTCTTTAGTATTTACTTTGGGATGTGTGTGGAATGAAATCCAATGTTTGACAGTGTGTGATATATGCTCCACGGAGAATGTCTGGCAAAGTTTTTATTGGACTAGCTAGCACAGGTGCACCGTGAGAGGTTTGGCTGTGATCAATAATTTTTTTTCTTTTGTGGAACATTTGCCTAGAGTTTTTGGATTCCTTGAAACGAAAGGATATAGTCCCTTTGTGGATTTATCATCTGTTTCTCTTCAAGTTATCCCTGTCATCTAAGGCAGGGGTTCCCAAACTTTTCTGATGAACTTGGCATGAAATCAACTCTCAATCCCCCAATTATAATCTACAATACAGTGGTCCCTCGTTTATCGCGGTGTTACGTTCTAAAAATAAGCCACAATAAGCAAAATCTGCAGAGTAGCAGCTATGTTTTATAAATCATTAATTATATCATTATTGTGATATATCCTTTGCATATTGTCGTATAATTTTTTGACATATTGCCCAGCCCTAGTATGGCAATTCAAAGTGCTTAACTAAACAAGATAAAAACAGTCACATAATGGACATTAAAATCATAAATATCACAGCATATTAAAACGAGTGAAGTTACAATTCTTCAGTTGTATGCACAGCTAAACCGAGCTGTTTGTTTTTACCTGGATTCGAACATTGTCAGAGTAGAAGATGTCTCAAATTTACTGAAGACTGTTCCACATTTGAACTGCATAAATCTGAACTGCTGCCCGCCTCCCCAGTTTTAGTCCTGACTCTGGGCACCAGCAGGAGCCCAGTCCCTGTGGATAATGTTAATGACAGAAATGCAAAAGAGCTGAGTTGTGTTCTTGAATCCTTTGGTCTCACTCAGCATGTGAGTGGCCCCACCCACAGAAGAGGGCACACTCTAGACCTGTTAGTTTCAAAGGGGGTGAACATTTCTAATGTAAACGTGGTCGATGTTGCTCTTTCGGATCATTTCTGTGTTTTTTTTACATGTGTTTCACTAACAAACCACCAGTGGACGTTGCAGTTGTTCGAAGAAGGCGCATAAATGAAAATACGAGTGATCTATTTATGGGAATGATAAACTTTGAGAATGCATCTACTGTAGATTAACTGTTTAGTCACCTCTAGTGTTTTGAATGTTCTGGATACCGTTGCCCCTGTGAAGGTTAAAATAGTGAAAAATAAGCAGAAGGCGCAGTGGGCTAAAGCAGACTTGGTCAGGGCCGAGTGGAAGTGGCGCAAGTCCAACCTCCAGGTTGATTACGAGATCTTCAAAGAGAAGTTGTGCGAGTTTAACCGGGTGCTACGTAGTACGAGAGAAAGGTATTTTTCTGAAATGATTGAAGGCTGCAGTAACAATCTGCGTGTTCTGTTTTCAACAGTTAATAGATTAACAAACCCCCCTGTTCAGCTGCCATTAGAGCTAACTTCCAAACGTAAATGCAATGAGTTTCCCCTTTTTTTCAAGGCATCAAAAACGCCATTGTCTCCAATCCACAGATAACAATCCAACAGCCAGAAAGGCTCTTTGAGCTAACTCACTTTCAGTGACGTCTTTGCACTTGGGGCCAGTGGGGCCCAGCCCCACCAGGTGGCGCTGTTGAGCACTATGCAGTCTCAAAATAACTGTCTATAGAATTGGTCTTCTTTATAGAGTAATAATCCATAAAATAATATTTTATTAAAAATAAATTGTGTCAAATGAATCAATTATTTCATAAAAATGTATGTGTAAATCATACACATCATACTGACTTACATGGCATTAAAAAGGATTCTGATTCTATTGAGTTGAATATTTCTGATTTATTTTTAACTATTCAAAGGTTTTATTCATGGGGTTAATACGTTAGGCTGTGCATAAAAATAGACTGTGGTCTTGAATTGGATTTATTGTGCATGTTTTGCTGTTAGTGGATGTAAAGTGCCCACTCTTGTGCCCCACTCAACTTTTCATGCCAGAGACGCCACTGCTCACTTTGCACCTAGATAAAACTGTCCAAGAGATAATCTCCAGTCTGAGCTCCTCCACGTGCAGCCTGGATGTGCTACCCACTAGATTTTCTAATCAGAATCTGTTCTGAGCAGTCTGTTACCATGTAAACATGTCCCTTAATTCTGGAATATTTCCAAAGGCTCTTTTTCAGCATCCAGACTGCTAAAAAAGAGCAGTCTGGATGCCACGGTACTGAACAACTATCGTCCCATCTCACATCTGCCATTCATGGGGAAAGTCCTTGAAAAAGTTGTCCACCAACAGCTTACTAGATTTCTTATAATCAACAACTCCTTTGACATGTTTCAGTCTGGCTTTAGACCCCACCACAGCACTGAGATTGCTCTCTTTAAGGTTACAAACAATATCAAGTCTCAATCTTAATTTTGTTAGATCTGAGTGCTTCCTTTGACACTCTCGACCATGAGATCCTCTTACAGAGTCTAGAGGACTGGGTTGGCGTCGCTGGGACCGCCCTAAGTTGGTTTAGGTCTTACCTTGAACACAGGAAGTACTTTGTGGAGATTGGAAACTGTGTCTCAGATCATATGGCCCTGACCTGTGTACCACAGGGGTTAATCCTGGGACCTCTTCTGTTCAATATCTACATGCTACGCAGAAACGTGTCCTATCATAACTATGCAGACGACACTCAGATCTATGTCTCACTGACTGCAGGAGAACATGGACCAGTGGACTCACTCCTTCACTGTATCCAACAGATCAGTGAGTGGATGCAAAATAACTTCCTTCAGCTAAACGCAGACAAAACTGAAATGATTGTCTTTGGTCCCCAGAAACAAAGAGAGCGTCATCTGTCACCTACAGTCTCTCTCCCTAAAACCTTCAAACAAGGTCAGAAATCTAGGGGTAATACTGGACTCAGACTTAAATTTTAATAGCCACATTAAATCAGTAACATCAGCCGCTTTTTACCATCTAAAAAAACATTGCCAGGATCAAAAACATAGTGTCTAAAGCAGACTTGGAGATTGTTATCCATGCATTTGTCTCCAGTAGGTTAGACTACTGCAATGGCCTGCTCACAGGTCTGTCCAAACAGGCTGTAAAACAGCTGCAGTACATTCAAAATGCAGCAGCTCGAGTCCTGACTAGAACCAGGAAGTACGTCCACATTAGTCCAGTTCTCAGGTCTCTGCACTGGCTTCCTGTGGCTCAGAGAATAGACTTTAAAACAGCTCTGCTTGTGTACAAGTCTCTCCATGGCCTCGCACCAGAATATATTAGGGACATGTTAGTCCCATA